ACTGAAGTCTGCGCTTTAATAGTGGCGAAGAACCATAAGAAACGAAAAATCAAAAAAGACGATAAAGAAGAGGAAAAAAAGAGGAAAACGAAGTAAAAAAAATGAGGCAGCAAATATTAAAAAAATACCTATTTGTTTGCGACGATAAAGGCGACAACAACGACGGGATAACGTTAACAACAGCATAAGATTTTTTTGAAATGATGAAGAAAAAATTTGAATGTAATTTACAAATTTAATAAGCAGTTTAAAAATGCGCTGTCAACGTTAAAGGTAAAAACCATAAATATTGGTAAAAGAACGAATGTTGCTTCTTTTTTTTTTTCTTGCAAAATCAGCTTAACATTTTATTTCGCAAAAAAACCCAAAGTATTAAAAATTGACCTTATACAGACAAATGGCAGCAATAATAGACAAAAAAAAAGTAGCTGCTCAAGAACAGCTACAGCTAAAGTATTTTTTTTTTCATTTTCAAATTTTAATTCTGATTTAAAATTAATATCACTTATAAAAGAAACTCAGAACAGACTTAAACTCACATTCAGACACGCACACACACACACACACACACAACTTTTCAAGTTTAAGATCTAAACCATTAGTTAACAAAAAGTCAATAATATCCAGAAGAAAATGGCCAACTCTCTCATTACTGCCATTCTGTTTATAAACTTAATTAAAACTTTAAACTCCAACAAATCGACACTAAAAGCTTAATTGAAAAAAAGAAAAAAAAAGGAACAAGAACAGGTCAGCGTTTTCAATAATAAACTTCTTAACTGCTTTAGACACTTATAAATATTGTGGCAAAAAATGAAAAATTATGGCTTACGTTCTAAGCTGAAATTAATTCGTTCACGGCGAACTAAATCGGTACTTCGATGCCGTAACGAATGTTGTCGACCCATATTCATTATTGACGGGTGTACACGTTTTTTTCTACAGATGCTGCCACTGTTGTTGCTGTTACTGTCGGAGTTGTTGACAACTGCGGTAGCGGTACTGGCAGCAGACCTGCTTCTAGTAACCACGTTATGCAATTCTGAGCTACCGTTCACGTTACTATTAATATATGTTTTCGTCTTGTGTTTAGTAATTTTTACTTATCTTTATTCTTCGGCTCCTGTCCTTCACTAAAATCCAGTACTACCAGACTGATTTGGCCTTTTTGTGCAGATTTGTCGATGACATTAACAATCAGAAATAAGAAATATTTTGGCGATTGCACTTCAGCTAATTATATTTAGTTGTATTTCTATATTCTTCTTCTTTATTCGACTAACAGTTATTAGTTGTAGAGAAAGATAGTACAAAGCGTATAAATCTGTACAGTTTACAGTCGATAGCGTAAATATAAACAGGTCGCGTAAGCTGATTAGACTTAGCAACTGTTACTTATAAACTTGATGACTTCCTTTGTTTCCTGGCGTGTACTGCTTACGTTAATATCACAAAAACTTTTGAGATACTAAAATTTTTCTTGGATTCTTTGCTTCGTGCTTCTTGTTCTTTCTTTTATTTTGTCTTCTTACATCTATAAAATAAGAAAACAAAAAAAAATTTAATTTAATGGCTTACACAGATACTGTAAACGACGATGAATATACGGGCAGTCAATAACGACGATGAATATACGAGCAGTTAATAACGACAATGAACGACAGTGACGAGCAACCAACAGAATACGACTTAAGTTGAACTACGTAATGATCAAAACTGTTAAAGAATAGGTAAATATAATAGTCGTGTATAAATCAAAATTAATTTAAAATTTTTG